TATATATATATATATATATATATATATATATAATGTTATTCTTATAACAGTAGCAACGGCAGCAGTTGTTTATTCATCTAGAAGTTTTGGATTTAAGAACTAGAAAAGCAAATAAAATTAATTTTTTTCTTTCTCCTTGTTTTTTCTTATTTGTGATTAAGTGTTAAAAAAAACATATTTGTTTTTTAAAGGTTGGCGGGATGGCGTTGAACAGTGCGCCGGATATTAATATTTGTCTTTATTTGGGCTTTGGTGAGAACAGCGACAGTGAAGGTGGAGGAGAAGTGGTGACTTTACTCCTGGAATCAACTATGTTGTCTCAAATAATTTCTGAATTGGAACGCCTTATGTCGCATGTGTGCAAATTAGAAAGATTGAGCGTAAATAAATAATTTTTGGCATTGTCACCTCTTATTTGTGACCTTTACATTGAAAAGTGTTTTTTTCACCGTCACCTCTTGGAATGTTATTTCAGGCTATGTAAATGGAAGATACATGGGGAAGAAAGCCAGTAAGAGTAGAAAGGGAAAGAAGAAAAAAAATCAAAGGACTGATGTGAAAACGAATGGTTAAGACGTTTGAAGGGGAGAGAGAAGAAAGGGGAGATTTGAAAGAAATGAAGAAAAAAGCCTTTATTAATTGAGAGCGAGAAAGAACCAGCTGCTTGAACAAGAACTTTTTTCTCTTTCATCTTCTTTCTTTTCAAAGGAGGGAAGAAAGCAAAAGAAAAGTTGTTCACCTCTTTCTTTCGAGAAATAACTGATAAGGGACGATAAAAGAAGAGGGCGATCGAAAGAGACTAGAACAAAGAGAAGAAACTTAAAACAGATAAGTTTAGAAAAGAAGCGGCAAAAAAACCGCATCGTGCAGTGACCTAATTTGGCACTTCTAGAGAATGGTATCAGTTGATGAAAAAAAACAGTTAAACTGCATATGAAAGGAGGCAAGAGTTGCAAGGTATATTTTATAGGTGAAATCAACACAGGAGATTGGAGTGAATGGGAAGGGAGAAAAAAACCCAGCAACTTTATTTTTTGTATAAATATAAATTTAAAAAAAGAAAGAAAGAGGAAAAAACACAAATAAGTTTTTTTTTAGAATGAAGCTCTCGGCACATTTACACACACACATGCATATATGTCTAAGGAGAAAAAGCGAAATCGATTTAAGACTTGGGTGCTGCTAGTGCTGCTGCTATTTGGCCAGTGGGGTGATTTTTCTGGCGGAAAGAGACACTGAAAAGAGTGAAGGAAAGAGATTCTCTTCTATCCTCCTCCCCTTCCTCACCTCCCTGTCCCCTCCCCGTCCCCTCCAAGTTCCTCCCCTTGTCGCTTAGTCGGCGGTGGTCGTGTTGTCGTCCAGTCAGTCAGTCGGGTTGGTGGCGATCGTCTTATACTTCTTGTTTGTTGTTATTTGTTGTTAGATTGCTGCTGCTGCTGCTACTACTGCTATTGCTGTTGTTGTTGTTGCTGCTACTGCTGCTGGTGCTGCTGGTGCTGCTGGTGCTGCCGCTTTCCTGCTTGCCTTTAGCTTCTACTTCTCTTTAAGGAA